AAGACTTCGGAGACTTCGGACATGCGCACTGGCGGGTGCATGACAGGAGCTGCACGCTAGGGCGCACCAACGGAGGATTGGCTCGGGAGAGCAACGTACGAGGAAGATGTGAGGTAAGGGGGGAAGGTGGGTCCGCACGCACGTGCCATAGCCGTGTGTGGACATTTGCTGATTGGCCATTGCCACGGTCCAGGAGGTCGGGCGCACGGGAGCGTAATTGCGCACTGTCGAGATCAGCGTGCACGGGCGAGCAATCGCGCACTGTCGGGATCAGCGCGCATGGGTGAGCAATCGCACACTGTCGCGATCAGCGTGCATGAGGGCGCAATCGCACACTGCCGGGCCAGGGCGTTCGAGATGGACGCTTCCGTGCGAAAATAGGGACCTTGGGACTAAGGCTTGAGTGCGGAATCAGGGCTTTCATGCGTGAATAGGGACCTTGGACTGAAGCTTGAGAGCGGATCGGGACCTCGCACGTGGACCAGGACTTCGAGGCCTGATAGACAAAATGAGAATACAAAAACTGAACACGATCAAGGTAGATCGGGGCCATGAAACTCAGATTGATCCTGGGCCACGAAACTTAAGCGGATTGGAACCCAGGACTCGAGCTCGACGGGAATTTGGAACTCAGACCAGGCAAGGGCTTTGGGAACGACCTCGGGTCAGTCTGGGACTTCCTGTGAGACCTGGATTTCAGGAAGAACTAGGACTTCGGGTGAGACTGGGGCTTCAACGGGGACTGGAACTTCGGGCCGGGGCATTGGCACCCCAGTCCGAGACATTGGCACTTGAGAACGAGCAAGGTCATTAGAGTTCAGACCGGGGTCTCTGGGACCGGGTCGGGACTAGTAGGGCAATGAGGTCTGGCAGGCTTAATCCTTGTGCCACTAGAGCTCTAGCTAAAGAGATGATTTCGTCCACGACACGGTCATGGTAACTCAGGTGGGCGGGAGCAGAGCCTGATCGTTGGGGTTTCAATTCCTGAGGAGAACAGGCGGCAAGGATGACATATGGTGAAGCTAGACTGTGAAGAGTGTCCGCGATGGGCCCTCGATTTCGTCTCGGACACTGAGAGTTCGAGCATAATTCCCTGGGATCAGCGAGAGCATAATTCCCTGGGATCAGCGAGCACGTTGTCGGCGTCATGCCATTTGGCGAAAAATCCGTCCTAGACTGGTAGTAAGATCGGTCGGGACTCAAACTGATTTTTCTGTTCTGGACGCGGGATCTATTTCTGGAATTGGGACTAGCGCAGTGAACCCTATTATTTTAGACTAAATGAAAATACATATCTTGTTCCTTCCGAATGCCGGTTCGTGAGTCTTTTATTGTCACATCTTCAATCAATTTCACTGGTCATTCTGTGGGTCTGGACTAACCCAGTTTTCTTGCAGGTTACAGGAGCCCCGACTTTCCCTCCCATGGGTGACAGATGCGGGGCGACAAATAGAGAACGGTCGACGTGCCGGCAGATCACTTCTTCCGGTCGACACCGGCTCCATAGGTTGTCAAGACAGTCCCCCCCGATTCGCCACTGGATTGTCTTCCTCCTTCAGCAAAACCCCAAATCTCTCTACAAGGTCTCACACTCCTGCCATTTGCAGGTTACAGGGCAACGCCCCAGCTCCAGCCCATGCCGTTTTGGCATCGGCAAACCAGGGGCACAAAACAAAGGAACTTTGAAGATATCAGTCTAGGTTCGACCATCTCTAAAATCATTTATCCCGAATGAGGAAGAATGTCAGATGCTGCCAAAAATTACAGAACACAAAAAAACTTGATATAACATGATTGAAAACTATGAAATTCTAAAGCACCTTTTCTGTAAATTAATCTCCCCCCTCCCCTCCTTCTCACCCTATCCCAATGCTGCCTTCACCGAAACGGATTACCCAGATTGCAAGCGTCCCATCTCAGCCCCAACTTGTGACAATCCCACATTCCCCCTTCTTATCCCACAAAGGCATACAATTCCCTCCCAAAGTATGCCTCTTCACACCTTTACCCTAATCTGCCGCCGCTGGGATGTGTAACCCCACTCCAACCTAGAATAGGGCAACCCACTAAACCTATTCGCACGCCCTCCAGGGCTTCACCTCCCACCTTGTATCGCCCCTGCATAGTGAAGCTCTCCCCCTTTCTATAATACCATCCTGCCAAAAGGTACTCAAAACTTGAACGTAGGAGGGAATCTGAATTTTAATTTTAATGCAGACAATGAACGCCATAGAATTACCAAAATTTTAATACTCATAATTTTTTAGTGAATAAGAATTCGTATCTAAAAATTCCAACTATAAAAGATAACATGAAGAAATCACTTGAAAAAAAACATTGTGAAAAAAACTGATAGATAGGAAAGGAATTTAAGAATTAAATCATCCAGAAATCTCCACAAGAAGTTTAGGTATATAAAAATACCATTTATGTTAGTTAGACGATGAATTTCAGGTTCTGAAGATAAGAAAAATCGAGAATGTATTGAGACTTTAGTTAGGATATTAGTTAGAGAAGCTAGTTAGGATGGTAATGAGATGATGAGATTAGTAGTCAGATTGATGATTAGGTATCACAGTGACTAGGTGAGGAATTTAATCACTAGATAACTATGAAGCAGTCTGCATTCCAAAGGTAAGTGAGACCCCCCCTCCTCCCCCTCCCTATCCCTATCCCTATCCCTATCTCAACTCTACCTACTCCAACCCTCCTTCCTAATCCCATTATCAATCCTTTTGCTCACTGCCTCCCTCGCCATGTCCTTCAACCTTGAACTCCTCTCCTTCTTCTTCCCTCCGTCATTTCCCTCGTGATGTCTTACCCCTTCCTCCACCACTACCTCAACCCCCTCCAATACTATTGATGTCCATTCAATTTGATAGTAATTGCAGGATCTACTACCTCATTCATGGAATATAATAGAGCAAATGATGGTATTGCAATGAACATTAGTATAATACTAGGAAAAATAGTCCAAATGATTTCTGTAGTGGTTCCATGAAGAATTCTCTCTGGAATTGGGTTTTTCTTGTAGTGAAAATGCCGTAAAACACGAACCTATTGTAATCACCCTCACCCACCTTTCTTTCGGAATTAGGGCGAGAGATTCCAACAAACGCATGTAGAGGAAGTAAGGAAGCGAGAAAGGAAGAAAGAAAAAAAGGTATAAAGGAGGAGAGAGAGGTAGGAGGAGAAAAAGGGGAATTGATAAAGAAATATGAAGGGGGGAATAAAATAGAAAGACGTGATGGAGAGACGATCCAACCCCCTCCTCCTATGCCCACTCACCTCAATGATGATGATGATGAGGATGAGGATGACGATGAAGATCCAACCTTTGATATTGAAGATAATGACCCTGGTAAGTAATTTTCCCACAATGCTGCTGATGATGACGATATTATTTGTGTTGATGATGATAAACATGATAACCCTATAATGATCCTCACTGATAATGCTGCTGCTGATGATGAAGATGACACAAAACCTTTCTTCAAAAAACCGCACTGAATGTCTCATGCCAATCCTCCTCCCAATCCTCGTGATGACACTCTCCTCTTCTTCACTTGCCTCAGCCGACCTACCTCCACTTGAAAAAAACGCGAGCTAAAGAGCATGAGTGATTCGTCATGAAGCCTCACTTGCAATCGAAAGCAGGATCCCCTCCATACAACATGCTAGCCTGCAACATCACTAGATGAAGCACAAAGCAAGAAGATGGCAACAATGTGCTTTCAAAGACGGGAACACCAAGTGACGCTTACATATCATCTGTTTTCTCGTCGTCTAGTCACCCCATCGGCATTTGTCCGAATAATGAAGGAAATCTCCCTACCTTATTCCTACTCATGCGACCGCAAGCTAGCACAAGCTAGGGCACACACCATGCCCGCTAGCCAGCCCGCAAGCCAACGCACGCGCCATGGCCGCTAGCCAGCCTGCAAGCGAGCACACGCGCCATGCTCACTAGCCAGCCCGCAAGCCAGCGCACGCGCCATGCCCGCTAGCCAGCCCGCAAGCCAGCGCACGCGCCATGCCCGCTAGCCAGCCCGCGAGCAAGTGCACGCGCCATATGCCAGTGCACGCTAGCCAGCCCGCAAGCCAGCGCATGCGCCATGCCCGCTAGCCGCACACACACACACACACACACACACACACACACACACACACGCGCGCGCGCGCTCACCTTCGCACAGTAGACCCACGAACTCCAATGCAGCGATCCCTGACGTGGCAAACTCGAAGGAGGTGAAGTCGAATGCCAACTCCAACCAGCGAACGTGACCAGACTGACTGCTGCACCATTTTCCCCTGGCCGCGCGTCAAAAACCGACCAGTTCGAATTCGGATTCCTGCCGCCACTGCTGCAAGGGCGTCACGGAAATATGCATGCCCCTCGTGACGTCATTTTGAGGATGGACCGACGAAATGCCACCAGCGGTCCAGTAAGGGCATAGTGGAAAGTTATGCCCCATGCTGACAGGGGCCTGCAGAAAAGTTCAGAGGCCCCAGAGGCACGACCGGGTAAGTCGGCCGTCAGAGGGGCATGCCGCAAACTAATCGAAACGTCAGGGGCATTTCGAGTCGAGAATTTCCATTTTTTGTATTTTTATTATTATTATTATTATTATTATTATTATTTAATTCTATTTTATTTTCTCGAAATTCAAGGCATTGCTATCATTGAGGCCCTTTACCCGGGGCCAAGTCCCACTTATGCTGATTCTTCATTTCCGACCGTCGATCTTCGTAATCTGCGGTCAGAAATTGGCCATTCGGGTAAGTGGGACTTGGCCCCTGAACTTCAGTAAAAAAGTAAAAAAGGGACTTCTCCGCCGAATCTGGCCCTTCTACCGGTAATTTAAGTATAGAGACAGTGAGGTCGGTCAGATTCATCTGTGCTGCTGGTCGTGGATGCCGTCATACGCCTTCGTGGCACCACGCTCCAAGGGCCTCGCCGCACCAGTTGGCTGGCGTGAACGTGTAATTAGGAGTTGAGGTGGTCCCCCCCCCCCTCCTTCCCCCCGCAAGAGGACAAAACACGTGGCAGGCGCGTGTTTGAGTACTCCGTACACACGCCGCCTCATTTGCTGGTGACACGTGTGCAGCCGGGGGCGAACCAGCAAGCCGACGATACAGCTTGGCAATTCTTTTCCGCATTATCCATATCTATATCTTCCTCTTTTTCGTTTTTTTTGTCCATATCCATCTCAATCTGATATTCTTTTATTTTTTTTGTTGGGAAAATCTGATATTCAAATGGCCGCTGTCTGCGGAAGAGCCCTAGTGGCGGCAAAGGCGGCTCGTAGTAGTTTTGCGGTAGACTCGGAGAACTTTCGTTGTGTTTCTGGTTCCAGTTCCGGACGCGTGGGCATCAGCGCGGCGGCGCGCAGCGGAGCTCTCAACACGTCGGCGCCCACTCATCGACAAAGGAAGGCTGTGGTTTTGCCACGTGGCAGTCGGGAACACCGTCTTCTCCTCAGCTCTTCTTTCGTCGGCCATTGTAATCATTTGCGCGTTGCTGACGTGGCGTCGCTCCCCTCGCTTCGCTGCCGTTGCCACGTGTCAGTCACCGCGATGGGCTCAGGTGAGAGCTTGATGACCATGGCATTGATCGGTATGGATGATGATGAGAGATTATGATAATTGCGGCTTTGGCGATGTCGGGGTTGGGGATGGCGTGTGGTCATTTTCGCTGTATATAACTCTGTGTGTGTGTGTGTGTGTGTGTGTGTGTGTGTGTGTGTGTGTATGTGCGTGTGTGTATGTGCGTGTGTGTATGTGCGAGAGATAGATAGATAGATAGATAGAGAGAGAGAGAGAGAGAGAGAGAGAGAGAGAGAGAGAGAGAGAGGTCTCTTATACACATCTAGATGTGTGGTATACTTAGACTCTAGACCAAAACTATTTTCTGTCACTTGCAAAAACCAGGGCGGATACCCT